CTACTAACTACTAACTACTAACTACTAATTACTAACTACTAACTACTACTACTACTACTACTACTACTACTACTACTACTACTACTATTACTACTACTACTACTACTACTACTACTACTACTACTACCATTACTTTTACCTCTACTGCACTACTGCTACTGCTACGCATGGTGCTGCTGCTACTGCTACTACTTCGACTTCTAGTAGTACTGCTGCTACTGCTGCTCCGACTACCACTGAGAGGGCGGCGGTGACCGCCGGAGCGCTTGTTGGTGTTGCTGCTGCTGCTGCTGCTTTTCATACTGATCATGAACGGTAGCAAGAGTAAGGGATTCTCAGTTCAAAAATCAGCATGTCCGCCGCAACAGCAGCAGCTACTCGTACCGTTACTTTACATCCAAAGCTTTGTTGTTCTAAGTCTTGTTGCTTCCTTGCTCCTCCTACAACCGAAATCGTAGAGTTGCAGTGCAGAGGCGATCACAGCTCGCTGATATGGACGAGGAAGCCCGCTTCGCCCTTGGATGCACAGATTTAGAGATTTGGAACGGTTCCAGCAGTAACTCCTGATCAAACCCGAGATACATCCTAAACCATCCCTTACTCCGTCCCTGTGTCTAGGAGCCAGCAGATCCCATGAGGAATCTCCTACTCGTTTATGAGAGTATGGGTTGTAGTGTTTCTGAGTTTGGAAGCTTGCTTCCCCGACCGGCGAGCCATTAGAGAGAATCTGGCGAGTTCTTCGTGTTCGTGGTGTGCCGAGGAGCAAGTCATCAGTTGAGCCCGAATCAAGACCCAAAACAGGGTCTTGCCGTCATCGCAACGAGGTTTGTAGTTTCGACTGTGGCTGTTCGACGTTTCGTGATTCCGTAATGTATGCTGTGGATCAAGTTTGTGTTGCATCTTTTGTGGTGGTTCATGGCCCGCCTGTAGCAACTATGGCTGCTGTCCTACACTTGCTAGCACCACCGCAAAATCCTACAAATCCCAATACGTCGATTCCCCCACTTCAACTCCGCGACTCGTTCAGCAAGGCAATGCATCACAGGTTAGCATCCTTGCTCTTGGTTCCCAACCCTTGCCTGATCCCCTGGAGCCCTACCGTGGATAGTATCGACTATTTTGCAACGGGTTGGGGACATCCTGAAGTAGCCAAGTCAGGTGCCCTTGAAGAGAGTATCGAAGAGTCAGGGCCTCAAGTTGAGTGCTTCATTTACTATGTTGGCTGATGTGTTCCTTTTTAATGTGAGCGGGGTTTGAGTGTTTGTTGGCTTTGGACCCGCTTTGGGTCAAGGGGTTTATTTGGGTGGTGGTGGGCTAGGGGCTGTGGATGGCTCTGGAATGTAGTGAACGGACGATTTTGAGATTGCGTCTGTTGCCGCTGCTTCTGCACGTTCCATGGGCAAAGTGCGCATATCCCTAATCCAACCAGTAGGTACTGCATACTGCCGGCGGAACTTTGCGTTCCAGGTGTAGCTTGAAACCTTGTCTTGAGACCTTGACGCACAAAATCTCCAACCACTAGTACGCAGAGAGCCCAAGGCCACAAGGTCCGGATGTACGTGAGGTTGACATGGACATAGGGTTTCGTTGGAGCTTGCCCGCGGCGAGATGAAGCAAGACTTAGCAAGACAAGGGTTTGCGGCAGATGCGATGTTTCTGTGGAAAGCCTGCACCCTACGGAACATGCAGGTGGCTTGTTTAAAAGTCACATACAAGCCTGACAGCATGATTACCGATGTTGTTTTTGAGGGTTCCTTAAGAAATATATCATACAATTCTAACCCTACGTACTAATTATTGAGGCCACTTTTTCCGGGTCCTCACACTGGGATCCTGTTGAGCTTTGGGCCCGGCTCACAGACCGAAGATAAAACATGCCTGATTTTAAGTTTTTGGTTCGAGGGTCTAGGGGTTTAGGATGGTTTAGGGTGTTAGGGTTTAGGGTACTTAGGGTTTACAACATTCTCTCTGTGAAGGTAGAAATGAGCGTTTCTTTGTTCATGCCGTCGGCACCGTCTGGGCCTTGCGGGTCGGCTAAACCCCCACCGCACTTAGACTGAAGCGGTTGTCTTGTTGCGCTTAATAGAGCGAGTGAAGTCAACGAGAGAGAGAGAGAGAGAGTCCCGATGTCAAAACCTGTGAGTTTTACGTCCCTTCAAAGCCCCATAACACATGGGGGGCCCATGTGGCCGAGGACCTAACCAGTCGCTTATGCCCAGTGGAAGAAGAGAGACAGAGAGAGATAGAGTAAGGACAACCCCTCAACCCTAAACTTCAGAGCTTGCGGACACCATGCAAAGCCTCCATGGGAGGCGCAATGCTGAGCTGGCAGGGCTCCGCTCGCAGCAGCAGGCAGCATCCTCGGGGTCGCTGTACGGGTCAAATCAATACTTAAGGTAAACATGCAAGCCCATAGTTATGCAGTCATTGAGTCATATCTTGCCAAAATATGTATATACTTTCATAATTTGTAACATATAATATATATATATATATATTCATATATATATATATATATACACACAGAAAATAACACACTACAGGCCACAGTTTTTGGTGCTTGTCGCCAGTTGTGGATTTCAGAAAACCACGTCATGAGGGCCTTTTTGTTTTCAATGATAGCCACCGTATCTTAGTACGTCATAGCAGTTTCAGGACATCACTAGTACTTGTAATTATGTTTCTGCAAGCTCCTTTGTGCTGTGAGGACCCCTAGGCTACAGGGTCTCTATAAAAGCAGAGGGTCTGAGGGTCTGGGTCCGGTCGGGTTCCCGGGGCTGGGGGGTCACCCTTCAATGTTCTGGCCCGGCAACAAACCGCTTTGATAAACACAAAAGAAAATGAAGGAAGATGCACGTAAGCATTTGCATCTATACCTGTACTTTCGTGTCAAGATTAGTAGACAGAAACTCATGAAAGCATATTGCTTACGAGATACTCCATATATGCATACATTACCTATGTATCAATGACAGGTGTAGACATATGTATGTCATGTTTATGCACAACACCACTAGGCATCTGTATCAATATTAATTTGTACAGACGATTGCGATAACACAAAGACTCATCATAGACCTTTTGAGCGTTTTAGGACATATTAGACGGCCAATGCCATCACATCAAAGAGAGCAGCGACATTTCTCAAAGTCGGAAGTAGTCAAAGAGCATGCTGCATGGCAAAACCCAGCTGAATCCTAAAGATAATGTGGCTGCAGAAACCCCAAATTATGGAACCAGACAATAGCCCTGAAAGCCAGATCCCATAAAGCAGATCATGGCTCAAGGCCACATATGAGATGATGAGTGCGACATCCAAACTGCTGAGGTCTGCATGATGCCCAAACCATCCACGAACCCCAAAAAATATTGACTCGTCAGCCTCTTCGACAGGAGATGATGGGTGGTCAACCTTTAACCCTGTAAAATCATGGCTGTATCCTGAGAACTTTATGAATTTATGAACCACGACATGCTTAAACATCCGCCTGGCAGTCTGCATATCAACATCTTTGTTTAGTGGCTTCCCAAACGACCGCCCATGATACATATTGAGTCTGAGTTTAAGATTCTGGTTGTTAGATATAGTAATTTACGAAGCATGTGCAAGATCGTATGTAAATAACCGCATAAATGTACGTAAACAAGCACATACACACAGTCATGCAGCTTGGATTCATGCATACCAATTTCTCTGGGTCCATACTAATCCAAATACAGCCTTATCTGTCCAAAATCAACAATTTGAGCATGCGAATGCTGCGGGTCAATACCCAGTCAAATTATAGCTGTTGTTGATGTTGGACTGGGCCGATAACCATCCGAGTTCAGTTCGGTATTGCGGGCCAATACCCGTGTAAATTCAGTTTGCTGTTCTTGCGGGTCAATACCCATCCAAATTTAGTTTGTTTTTGTTGCGTTTCGATACGTATCAAAATTCAGTTTCATGTTATGGGCCGATACCCATCCAATTTCAATTTGTTGTTCTTGTGGGTCAATACCCATCTGAATTCATGTGTGAGGTTCGTTTCCTTGCTGAAATCAAGTTGCGTTATCATGGGTCAATAGCTCTCCAATCTGTACTTAGTGATATCGGAACTCAATACCAATCCAAATTCCTGTTCTGATGTTGGGGTCAACAGAGTTCTTAATTGACTAGATGTATTTGGTCGTCACCTATCTAATTTATGTTTTGTTGGCTATGGGCCAATACCCATCTAAATTATTGTTCATGTTGGTGAGCCTCGACAACAAACAAATTCCATGGTCTGCTGTTGGGTGCTAATGCCCATTCAAATTCAGTTTTGTTGCCGTCCAAATATAGAGTATGGTTCTGGTGGATCAGTATTGTATAGTTTGTTGTTCTTTTTTGATCATTCCCGCTCGACATAAAACCAGCTGGTGCTGAGGGTCACAACCCATCCAAACTCCGTTTTCTATGTCGTGGATGAATACCCATCCAACTTCAATTAGTTTTTTGTCTTCTTGTCAACGCCCATCCGAGTTTCCTTTTTGGTAGGGCATGTCAATATCAATTCAATATTATTGGGGTCGTGAACTATCCATATTCAAGTTGTTGTAGCTACAGAACCATTGCCATCACAATTCGTTCGTTGTGGAGTGCCGATACCGTCCGGTTGTGGCGTAGTATACATCTAGAATCACTGTAATGATATTATTGTGAGCCCATATTTATCGGAAGTCAACTTGATGTTGTTGTTGGGCAAAAAAACCTGGAATGCTTTCGATGGACGGTCACTATCGATTCAAAACTCATTTTTCGTTCTTGAGACTCAACACCATCTAATTTCAGTTTGTTGATATCATATGTCCTTATCTTGGATGGAGCTACAAACATCTGAAAACACACGTTTTACTCGAAAAACACGGGCCTGCATTGCGTCACACGCACACACACACACACACTCCCTCTCTCTCTCTATATATAAACACACATGCACCCATATATATATATATATATATACTTCTTTATTTATTCGAAGCATGAAATAACAGACATTACATACATACGTACATACATACATACATACACACATACATACTCGCTTACATACATACACACATATAGAGAGAGAGAGAGAGGAAGAGAGAGAAAGAGAGAGAGAGAGACACACATGCATGCGTACATGCATGCATGCAGGCATGCAGGCATGCATGTGCACATGGATCCGTATATTCATATGTACAGACGCGTACAAGGGTATATATATATATATATATGTACACATGTATGTTTGTATGTATGTATGTATGTATGTATGTATGTATGTATGTATGTATGTATATATATTTATATTTATATACATATGTATGCATGTATATATGTATGTATATATAACGTTTGTATGTATGACAAACCCAGACATGTGTGTAATTACACCAAAGTATGTATGTGTGCCCGCGGAAGGCGTCCGCGTTCTTAGCTTCGGGTTCATTCCGGGGGCAGCAGTTGCACCCAAGGATAGGCAAGTTTGTGGGGATTCCCAGAGGTCGTAGTTTGCTTGAGCTGCTAAGCCCACGTGCGCTTGTGTCCATGCGCCAGCATGCATGAGCCACTGGCCGGGAAGCCGCAGCACGTGCATCAATCCTGTGTGAACGATCGCTGGAATTTGCTGTTAAGGGCCCGAATGGCAGGTAGCATTCGTAAAATTAGGGCCTGGGCACATTTTTCCTACTGGATTCCACAAACCAGCGCTAAGCATTCACAGCCCTGAGCTTCAGGCTTTAGCCTCGCAGCCATCTCCTTCTGTTGCCGTTAATAGTGCAGGCGACGCGGGCAGAGATTGCGCAGCCAAAGCCTCAGTTGCTGCCAGTGATTTCGTCGTCGCTGAAGACTCGAGCACGCCTGGGCTGATCCTTAGCTCATGTTGTAAAGGTTGTAGGTTTCGCTTGTCTCTTTGCCTGAAGAAGCTGTGTGAAAAAGGCTGTGGAGGTACAAGTGGGTGGGCAGAGCCGGATGTACTCTTTGAGTCTTTGAGTGGAGTAGAAGTCTGGAGACTGCCCAAAATTACATGTCCCCTGGCAACAGGGTTTAGGGTTAGGGTTTGCTAAAGCACTTCAGACAGACCTCGTTCAAAAAGGGTTTGCTAAAGTCTTCGGTATTGCTTCAGAGAGTTTATTAACAAGCTTGGTTTCACCTTCAGTACCTTGAGGAAGCAGACCATGTTCATGGGGGGTATGACTCTTACTACTCTGTTTATGTCGGCTTCCTAGACACCTACGCCCAGGTGGAGCCAGCGCGTCAAGGAGCTGGAGGTGCCTGCCGGGCCCCGGTCTGGGTTTTTCAAAGGGTGGTCTGCATGTTCAGGTGTTACGGTCGCGATGAGCTTTAGATAGATGCAACCAGATTTTCAGTTGGAGCCTTAAAGAAGGATCTGTTGCTTCTTAGCCGCCAGGATGCAACATGGACACGTGGAGGTCACCAGCACCTTTAGTACTCAAAAGTGGGTTTGGGAGGTCGGTTCTAGCAGATTTATACACGGGTAACAGCGCCCGGCACGTGACCGGCGATCGGTGGTATGGCTGAAGCATGGAGCGCATTCAGGATTATTGAGAAGTGCTGCATGTGAAGGCCGACACCCTTTGAAAGGTCAATCCTGTCTGGCTACATGGGGTCCCCGCTGCATCAAAGCCAACTTTTGTTCGAGCACTGCGTTGCCTAAACTTTGTCAGCTACACTTGTTGGACGCTTTGCACTCTCGTCGCAAGAGCTCCGTACACATCTTCGTGATTACGTTTGAATGGAAACCGCCGCACATACTTCCTGTTGCGATCCGGGGCAAGGTCATCAAGACAGCCAACTCCACGCACAGAAGCTGCCGAAAGTTCTGAAACCGCACATTGCGCTCGCTGGGCCTGCCGGCTCATAAGGTAAATGGCAAAAGATGCAGAAACAAATGGAAGGCCTCCGAAGTTGTTGGCTTCCACAGGGCCCTTCTCTCTCCAACAACATTAGACCCTACACCACTTGTGCCCTCTTTCGGCGCAAGAAACGCTGCTCCTTGTGGCTGGGGATTGCGGGCTACGGGTGCAGGAGCTGGCTTAGGGTAGGGCCTTGGCCCACTCAGCCCCCGCCGCCCCCCCAAAAGCAAGAGAACGCGTAGGACGCCTACACGGCCGCTCTCACCTATAAAAGGGAACCCTGAGTGCTGTTATAGCAGAGCTGTCATAAGAAACCCTTTAAGAATCTCCGTCTCGCAGGCAAAGGCCGTCGACGACCGCCTCCAAAAGTCGACGTCCTCCGCCCAGGTAGGGAAAGGGATAATTATAGTTTGTAGTGCAGCTCTTGGTCTTGTTGCGAACATGTCACATGATAAGACGTCACGTTATATCGTTGGTTCAAGTAAACCAATGAATCAATAAATGTCTATATGTATGCATGTGTGTCTAAACCAAATATGTATGCATCGGTACCTAATAATGCTTATATATATACACATATGTATGTATGAGCCTAAGACATTCAGGTCGATGTCATCAGCATTTTCTATTTACACTTCCGCTGGCTTAGCTACATTGTCTATAACAAGATGCGGGACGCTTCGATCGGCATGTACAGGCTGCCTTGGCCTACTTTCAGCCGTCGACATTTGGAGACGACCTGCCAGATGCAATGTTTGAGAATCCCGTAGATCCATACCATCACGTCGTGTGTAATGTTGGCGTGGCATGCAATAGCAGTCAATGTGAAACAGCGGAAGGTTCAACGCAAGACATGAATTCGCACATGTATAAGGGGCTAGCTAGCAACGGATCACTACACTGCCAACGCAGTCGCACGTCGTTCAAGGCATAGCAAGGGTAGCGCAGGAGCAGGATAAGGCACCTAAAGAGCCTGTATAAGACGGAAATGCAGATGGACAGGGTCAGGGACACAATGAAGATGGTGAGATGAAGAAGATGAGGAAGATTAAGATAATGAGCGGCGGATGAAGTATGCGATGGCTGATTTCTTGTAACATCATTATCCTAAGCTCGATACTTGCACCAATAGTAACCGCAGTAGTAACCCTCATCTGAGTGATAAGACGGTTCGACCCTAACCCGAACCTTTCCGCTAGCTTTAAAAATTGGCTCCAATGGTGACTCCAAGACATGAACTACCCTGAACCCTGATCCCTTTGGCACCCTTTTCCTCAATTTTAAAGGTCCACTTGAAAGGGGGGCAAGGGCCCCAAGGGCTAAAGGTTAAGTGTTGATTTAATGTGAATGAAATAAGTGGAGGTGGCGACGGCGATTCCGACGGCCCTACAATGATGTGCTGGGGATGTTGATGAACGTGCGGATGAGGATGATCACGATAAAGTTGCCGCAAGCGCATGGCATAGCATCTCCCGTGCATATCGTATTTCTGATCATGGACTACCTGACTACCCATGGGTTTGGTACCATGTCAACAGTAGCTTCGGCGAGCGATGATGAGCGTTCATGCGTAGATGGATATGATATGCTAGGCAGCTCCCGTGGACTTGTCTCAGTACTTTTCTCACGCAGCCTTTTGCATTCTACGGGCTTCTGATCAGTCCTAAGCTGGAGTGACAGGCGCCCCAATGCCCCTGCTCCGTCTTAAGGGACATGTCACTAACGACGGTAGCCCTAGTGAAATCATCGCCCATAGCCAGGTTGAAAACTGTACTAACTAACGAGTACTACGGTTTTGCAAGGGCACAAAGCAAACCCTTGAGCCCTGAACTCGTTCATGCGACCTGGTGCGAGTGTGAGAGTCGAAACACCAAGCCTTTTTGGGAGCCATTTTGGCTTTTGCCGAATCAAGCTCCGCTCTTACGGGACGGCCGAGTGCTGCAAGGAGGGCAAAGGCGGGCTGAGGGGTCAAGGATTTTAGGGCTATGGATTGTGATATTATCATAGTATATAGGATCGACAGAATCTTGAGTGGTTGAACTCTTGGCTGGAGCCTTTTGCCAAAGCTTGCCGCAGACGGGTAGAGTTCCTTTGATAGAACCTTAAGGAAGAATCAGCTGGCGGCATGCTTTGTCTTCGTAGGCAGGACATGTTCGTTTGTCACTCCGGCTTCGGGCGAAGATCTGCACAAGCGAATATGTGAACGGTGCCAAAAGGGGATTCCAAATCAATAGCGTAGGCTGATTAGCTAAGTATGCCAGCATGGATTCATAACAGAACAAGACCACGCACCATGTACACCTCGGAGAGACCACGACGACGAAGAGCACCAGGAGACGCACGACGACCACAACGATCACAACGACCACGATCTCCACGACAAGCACCAGCACGTCGACAACGACCGTGCACAGCATATCAAAACATAGAATACCGCTGAACTGGATAAATCCGCAGAATACGGACAATATAATGTGACACAATGCAGTAGGGCAGGGTGGAATTGAGAACGGGGCTGCAATATACTGTAATGTCGGTTCATGTAATGTAAAGTCGAGGAATGTAGTGCAACACAGGGTCAAGCCATGATAGTTAATATGCCAGAATACAACACGTTACACATTTGTGCCTTGCAAATTAGCCGCATACAAAAGATACCTCGACCATATGATGCAGTTCAACACAACATAATGCAATACATCACAATATAACACAATATAAGATGTTGTAGCAAAACAAAATGCCAGACTATTGTAGCAGATTGTGGCCTGGAACAGAATCGAAGAGTAGATACTACTTAAAAGTAATGAAACTTAACAAAATCCATTTAACATCATGTTGAAGAGAGGTGTCACAATGTTACAGAACATCACACAGACATAGCTTAATCTGTCATAGCACACTATATTAAAGTATAATACCAAACAGTATGCAATGGTATAGTACAGTATGGTATGGTATAGCACATTATCGTATAATGTTGTTTTATATAAACGACAAAATGATACAGTACTATCGTGTAACATTTTATTGCAATTATACTAAATAGATAAGCGATATCATATCGTGCTTTATCACATAAAGTTAAACATGTCACGCTACGGGATGTCATACCGTGTCATGCCATGTCAGTCCAACAAGCCGTGCTTTCGATGAGAGTCCTGGCAAGGAGCTTTCCAAGATCTTCGACCGGTCAGGCATGGATCCCGAGGCCAAAGCTCAGAATGTCCGCAATGCTCATATTCAACAGGTGAATATAGCCGTGCAATCGGCCATTTAAACCGAAGTGCCGATGCTTGGGGGGGGCAGCAGGACATGATGTTGTATACATACTTACACATCTGTATATGTAGATGTAGTGTCCGGCTTGGCATACACCCTGCCCCCAACCAACTGCCCATGTCACTCACCCTATCTTTCTGTGGAGCGACGCGGCTCATCCCTGGCATGGGGTTGATAAGGGCAGCAAAGGGCGAGGGAATTTGTCAACAATACGTAATATTCTCTGATCGTCTACTATAGTATACTTATGTCCGACTCTTGTGCTAACTGTAGTCAGATCGCACATGGCCCAAAATAGGATACGCATAGGAAAAACATAGGAATCCTGGTTTTTCGGAAATAGACATAAAATAAGATGAATAGGAACCACTGCCCGCTCTTCCCAAACTCCTTTCTAGGTGGGCCTGCATTTTTCGTAGTTTTCCTAGTGCTTTCCCTACATTTCCTATGCTTTCCCTGTGTCATTCCTATTTTTCCCTAGTTTATAAGTATTTTCCAATTTGTTTACCTATTTTATTCCTATGTTCCTCCTATTTTCTACTCCGTGCCTATGTTTCTCCTATTTCCTAGTTACTCTATTTTTCGTATTCCTGGAATTCGTATACATTTTCTGTTTTTTCTCCTCAATTGTGGTTTTGGAGGTTCGCTAGGATTTGCACTTTTGAGTCGGACATGATAGTATACCCTTACATAGTCCTGATATATATATATATATATATTTTTTTTTTTCGGCGAAAATGTATCCTTATGAAGAATAGTCCTCATATAGTTATGCTGTAACGTACAACTGGCCCCATTATTCGGGCCTTTTGGGTGCTCCAAGGCTGGGAGGGGGGTTCAAAGGGTACCTAAGGGGGCGAGCGCCCGACGCATATGTATACTGATCATACATGTATGTATAGACACTTGTATGTATGTATGTATGTATGTATGTATGTATGTATGTATGTATGTATGTTGATTTGTTTGTTTGTTTGCACACATGTATGTATGTATGTATGTATGTATGTATGTATGTATGTATGTGTGTATGTGTGCATGTATGTATATATATATATATGTATGTATGTATGTATGTATGTATGTATGTATGTATGTATGTATGTATGTATATATGTCTGTATGTGATTGTACGTGTTTGTCTGTCTGTCTGTCTGTCTGTCTGTCTGTCTGTCTGTCTGTCTGTCTGTTTGTCTGCCTGTACAGATGCACGTATGTACGTATGCATGTGTGTATGTGCATATGTGTGTATGTGTATGTATGTATGTATGCATGCATGCATGCATGCATGGATGTATGTATGTATGTATGTATGTCTATAGGTATGTAGGTATGTATGTATGTATGTATGTATGCATGTATGTAACATGTATGTATGTGATGTGTGTAATGCGTGTATCTAAAACATTCAGCCTGTCATCACATTACCCACTGTTGTCGCTGCATACCTTGCTGCATGTCATGTTGCCGGTGATGTCAACATGTAAAAAGAAGCTAGGATGTTTGGGTGGCATCATTGCCGTTGAAATTAGCCAGAGTGCTTTTTAGGACCTTTCCAGACACCATGGAATTGGTACAGGTGTGCGACTTTCCAGCCGAGGTTGAACGGGATCAGCGATCACCATACATGTAATCAAACGGACACGAAGTCAGTACACCACAGATGAGACAAAGAAAACATGCTCTGCTCTTGGAGATATGACAGAAAAGAGCCGCCTCTCACCAGCATACCAAGGCACGACTCTCCCAAGCAACGAGCTCGGATTCCAGAAATTTCACTCTACCCTTACCTATAGTCTCCATTGTAGTTCCTTTTTGGGGATACCTTATAGAATCCTTAATATATAATGGGTTAAACCAAAAAAAGGAACTACAATCGAGATTATAGGTAACCTCCAAAACTTAACGCTACGCCCGAAAGCCTATCGCCCTATTGTAAACCCTAAACCCTAAACCCCAAGAGCCAGGCTTTTGCCGACGATCTCCGGTCCCTGGCCTCGAAGCACCAGCGTCAGTGCCGGGCTCAGGGACCGGAACACCTGAGATTACATGGGAGTTTCCGAAAATAAGGAGCCCCTTATTTTGGGGTCCTTATAATAAGGGTCCTACAATTTCGGGTACTATACTAGGGTCCCCTATTTTCGGAAACCCCCATTTGTGTCGATAGAGTTTATAGTTTCGAAGGGAAATCTGGTATGAAAGAGAAAGGTAGAGAGGAATTTTCAAAATATAGAGGACTGGTGTGTTTTCAGATGAGTTGATAACACTGCCTGCACGGTTGCTAAGTTCCAAAACCATAAGCCGTGTTCTGCGAGCAAAACAAAGAGTCGACAGCGTCGGTGCAAGAAGCGACGGCTCGGCACGAAAAGGGGCATTCCTTTCGCACCAGCGTCAACCAACCCAAAGCCTTGAGGCGACTTTTAGACGAAGCCACGAAGTCAAGCCTTTTTTTGAACGAGACGTGTTTTCCAATTGCACGCGCTGCACTTCTAAGAGAGAGTAGTCTTGGACTTTTCCCACGAGACAAGCAGCTTGCTTTCAACTTCACAGCGACGTCGTTCCAAAGCATCAATGGCGTATAAACACTAAGGCAGAGAGAGTCGGAACATGGTGTTAATCGTGACCTTGCTCGTATTGCATTCTTTCTCGATGTAGATCACAAGTAGCCTGTAAATTAGCAGTGCGGTTGCAGTGTGAACCTACGGGTTACTGCGATTTCGGAATGTTGCATGGCAGCATGTATGTTCGCTCGCCACTCACTGCGAAGCGGTGTTGTGAAACTGTGTTCCCTAAACCCAAACTCCGCCAAACCGCAGTGTAAGTCAATCCTGGCCAGGCTCTTGGAGCTCGCGACCTCTCAGAGTGATGCACTGCTAGCCGTGGTTCAAGCTTATGCTGGAGGCCCCTTATGTGACTGCCCTTCAATTCAGGCTTCGCCACAGGCTTTGGAGGTTGGGTTTCCGGATCATGCTTTGCTCGACGGATCGTCACAATCCTGACACTTTCATCAGGGCTCAAGCCGGATTGTGCGACGCAGACATTCGATGGCACTCTTTGCACTCCGATACCAAGTTGCCACGGCACGTCTCCACCTTGCCTCGTCAAGCAAGTCTTTGCTAGCCACAAACAGATTAGGGCGTAAAGCGTTTATTGACCTTAGCTTCAAATCCAGCTTCTTCTCATCTGTTTCACCCAGTTGGGCTCCCGTCGGGGAGCGCGCAGGAGGCGGACGCGTCCACAGATGCAACCAAGCGATGCCGCAAGGAAAACCGGCAGCGTGTCTGGAAATTCTTCTTCTTCGCAGCGGAGCCTGTCGTCTTTGTCGCCTGAGGAGCGAGAGTTGGCCAACGAGTTGAGGTCACGGCAGCTCTCACTGGCGGGTTTGCAGAGCGGTAGTACAAGCAGCAGCGGGTCGGAGCCCCGAGACCAGCTGCAAGCTGCGGAGGCGGCGGAGCGAGCAGTGGAAGCAGCGAGATCCTCCCAGGAAACTGCCGCTGCTTCCGCAAAAAATGGGCACTCGGACAAGAAGAGCCGATCTCAAGACAGCGGCAGCAATAGCCAGGTGCAGCGCAGGAGTCAGAGCGAGAACGTCGGCACAGAAAGCTCAACTTCTGAAACTGGGCAGTCTCGAGATGGTCCGCTCGTTAGCGACTTGCTAGCCAAAGTTCGAGCTCTTGAAGCTGCCTTGCTGGAACGAGATGCGCAAGCTGCAAAGATGATAGTGGACTGTACAAACATCGACAGCCTGAATCAAGAACGGCTGCTGGACATCCAGGCGAAGCTGGCGGCTGCTGTCAGTGCCAGGAAGGTGGCAGAAGACGAGCGGGATGTCATGGAAGTGAAGGCTGCCGGGGACAAGGCGAAAAACGCATCGTCCTTGGCAGCTGCGAAAGCAGAACAGCTTCAGTTCCGAGAGATGCATCGGAAGACCGAAGCGAAATCTGAAGAGATCAACACGGAGCTCGAAACAGCTCGGCATGATCTCCACCAGTCGAAGCAGCGGGCAGACATTGAGACCCAGCACCAGGCAAAGTCACAACAGCTCAGCGATGCTCGCATTGAAGAGTTGGAGGCTTTGTTGACGAAGGCGAATGATCAGCTTGCGCAGATGAGACGCGAAAGATCCGGCAGCTCAACCACTTCAAGCGAGCGTGAGGCGGTCCTACAAAGCCAAATTGATGATCTCGTAGCGGAGAGGATGCAAAATCGCCAAGACATGAGCGACGCGCGCTTGGAACTTCTCGGACTCAAGAAGAGGCAGGCTCTCTCTGCATTGGATCAAGGCCCAGCACCGGGGCCCCGCCAAGGAGCAGTCAGGTCACGAGGAGGTCCAAAAGGAGGTCGAGGAGGACGAGGTATGCTGGAGATTATCGACGAGGACTGGAAGGGGGCTTTTCATCAGATTGAGGCTGCGGCTTCCCGTCTAGTATCTATCGCCCTGTCTTACATATATACTTTCAGGTACTGTTTTATATACATATTTTGATATGGTGGCCCTTGCTGCCTGCCAGGAGGAGGACGGCGCCGAGTCACTGCCTGCACGAGGGGATGAGTCGGCTGCCAGCGAGGGCGCGAGCAGCGACTGTGGAGACCTGGACAGCATCACGAATCCGGACCAATCTGCCCACAGCGAGCTCTTGAACAAGCTGCTGTCTGAGTTGTCTTCGGAGCGGAGGGCGCAGCAAGAACTGCGTGATGACCATGCTGGCCAGAATGCCGAGCAGAAAGAGCAGATAGCTCAGCTGAAACGGCAACTCCTAGACGCAGGACTTCTACAGGAATCGACAGTAGCGGAAAACTCTCGGTTGCGCAAGGTGGGCCACCAGGATAAGCTCAAGCAGCTTCAGCAAGTTGACGACTTGCAGGTGAAAGTTAGAGACTTGGAGGAAACACTGCGAGGTCAGTTTGCAGAGATGAAGGTTCAGACAGACAGGGAGGAGGCGCGAGATCTTCTCAACACCGGTTTGCAGGAGAAAGTACAGATGCAAACAGAGTCGCTTCGAATCGCTAGCTTGCGACTGCAAGATTCTCTACAGCAGCACCAGCGGGAGGCACTACGTCAACTGCAGGAAGTGAACTCCTTGAAGCTGCAGCTGGCACTGGAACGCAAGCGACATGCGGGTCGCGGATCGGAGTCGCTGCAAGATGAAGGAGAAGGAGATGAGCAGCCGGAGGCAGCGCTTTGTCAGCGAGTGAAGGAGCTAGAGGAAGAGCGGAACCTGCTGCTTAGCAAAATAGAGGTTCAGGAGGTGCACCACCAGGTGCAGCTGGAAGATGCATACCGCGACCATGCTTCCAGACTGCAGGAACAGCGAACGAAATTCGAGGAGCAGATCGCAGAGATTCGTTCCCGATACGAGCAGGTGATCCGGCAGCAACCGTTTCAAGTCGCTCCAGAGGAGTTCCATATCCCAGCTCCGGACCTGAGTTGCTTGAGGTCCCCTGCAAGGCCAGCTTCTGGCCTAGAGGAGGATCCATCAGAAAAGAAGAGCGCCGTTGGAGTTGCCAGTGATGTCAGCACACCGGCATCGCAGAGCACAGGCGGCACAGTTGGCACTTCCATCTCGGAGCAGGTCCGCGGCATGGTGTGGGCTGTGTTGGGGTTGATTCCTGATGCTGTGGCACTTCAGTGCTCCTTTGAAGACCTGGCCATCCAGAAGGCTACCGCCAGAGCAGGTGCTATCTTCAGCGGTCTGGACCTGATTGGCATGTCCTTTTTCGCCTTGCTCCGCGAGAAGAGCAATGCCGCAGTGGTGAGGAGAATGATGCTTGTGAACCAATCCATGGCAGACAGCAGTCAGTCTGAGATCCCTTCCTTCATCTCTAAAACGCTTGGCAGATTTGGGTTGCTTGGGATCGCTGGGCAGGTCCTGGATGTAGTCTTATCTATGGCTCATTTACCCGCTACCTCTGCGAGTGCTTCTGGTCCGGATGGTCGCCACGTCATCGTGGTCATCTCTGAGCAACAACAGAAGCGTCGCGGAGAAGTCTCTGTAGCCAGCAGCGATGTTTGCCCCAGTGACAGCGTGAGTGTAGGCAAACGTCGGCCTCCCTTCGGCGGCTCCCTACAGAGAGCCAGTCTGAGGGCCTCTTTCTTCAAGGCGGACTCAAGGATCTCTTCTGCCTCCTCTGAGCATGCCTCCCCGCGAAACTCGCTGGCCGCTGACTGAGATGCCCCTATTGTACGTGTGTCACGTGTGTCATGCTTGTGTATCAATTTTTTTCTCTGACCCCAAAAAGTCAGAGCTAGCCGCTAGTCAGGTCGAGGTACCTCGCCTGGCTTGAGTGTGAACGCCGAAGCAGTCAGAGCTTCCCCTTGATACTTGTGGTTCTTTGGAGAAGTTGCGGCTGAGTCGATGTCATGTCGAACTCGGTTGCTGGACAGATCGCAGTTCAAGAAGGTGCTGAGGTTTTCGAGCGTTTATGCTGCATACCCAAGCGCACAGCAGCTCAATCCTCATATGTGGATTGTTGCTACGACTTTTGGCTTTCTGCATGGAGGACGCAAAACTTGTCTCTTTGATGTGACTCCTTTCTGATCGCGAGACCTGAGCTGGCTTCGTCTGAGTGCATCCTGAAGCCGAAGAATATCTGACTGAATATCTGTAACATAGAAATCTCTACCTACATATGCATACATACATGTGTAATATATCTATAAGTTATCTATAGAATCTGTATATACACATAGACGCCCCGGAGAGTCGTCTTGGACAGGCGTGCCAGACAATGCAGATGCGGCAAAGAGGTTGGAGGTGGGTGGAAACACATACCGAGAGCCGCACATCGCACATACGGCAGTCCATGTGGTCTTAGTTCGCCTGGCACGCAAGCATGTAAAGACAAATCTTGGTCCATCATGTGCCCGTGGAGCTGTTCAAGTCTTCCTGGATTTGTTGGGTTCGCTACAGGGTTTTTCAGATCTGACCTACCTTGAGGGATTCAGAGCTCACGGGGATCCGCGGAATTTCTGCACACTTCAGACGCGCAGGAGGCCCCGCCGCTCGGCGTTGAGAGTCATGTTTGGTGAATGCCATCATGCTCCGTTCTTGTGAATGAGCGCGCTGAGTTCGCTTCGGCCTCTGTCGACCGAAAACCTTAATTGGAGTACATGGCAAACACGTAAGGACATGTCAGTCCAATGTTTGCAGCCCTTTAGCAGGACTTAGCCCAAGTCATCAAAGCGCCCGGTACGTACCACTGAGACTCGGTTTAGTGTTTGTTTTGCGAGCTCGCCTTGAAGTGCAAGAGCTGCAATGACGACGCTCCCGAAAGGCCACTCATCGCAGCCTCGTTCCAGAGGAGCCGTCGGATCATGCCGCATTGCGCTCTTGTAAAGCCCGGGCGACCCCAGCTTATGCATGTTTTCTTGCAAATGCTGAGAATATACTGGCTTGTGCCTAGAAGTACATGGTTTGAGACCCGCCCTATAATCCCTATAGGCTTGAAGCCGAAACCCTTTGCTAGGGTGTGGTGTAGGGTTTATACGTTTGCCTTTACTGAGAACGAGTTCAAAGAATGATGCGGGCTAGCTGAGCAGTTATTAGGATACGTCATGCTTTGTGACGGCATCATGGATACTTGGGGTGTCTCTCCTGTTGTGAAAAGTCTTGTGACTATAAGTGGCACTTCCGTCCGACCTGATACACAACGTAGTTTCCTGTATTGGGCACTGCCGTTTGCAATGGTCTAGTCCAACATCGGCCTTGATTCCAAGGCAAGGTGGACCGTTAGTCCACTTTCAGACTATATTTGTGACTGTGTTATACATGCCATGTTAGATTAGACTAGACTAGACTACCAGACTAGACTAGACTAGACCAGACTATAATGTAACAGGGGACAGCACGGTAGAACAGAACAAAGGCTATGCGATGCCATGCTAGTGTTATACTATGCTATACTTTTCTGTACTATAGTATCCTATACCATGCTATACTAATTCTGTACTATACTGCATTATACTGCTATAAAAGTTAGCCTAAACCCTATAAACCCTACATTATAGCAGAATCTATGCAGCTGCTCCACAGTTGTTGCTTTGGTTTAGGCCTTTGCCGCGGCAGGTCTGGGCAGGCGACTGTGCAGCTCATTGGTTTGGGTTTGAGGCTTAGGGTTTAGGNNAGGGCTTGGGGTTTTGGGTTTGGGGCCTTTTTTGTTCAGGTGTCTCCGAACCTGAGTTTCAGATATGTGCTCTGGCGCCTTGCCAGACCTTGGCACCAAGACAACCACCCACCATGAATCTCGTGAGGCGAGTTAAAGTGTGATGGGGTGATGCCTGTTTTAAGTGAGCATCGGGTTTTTTTTCGCGGCGCGAAGCTCCAGACTGGGGGGGGGGGGGGGGGGGNNGGGGCTCTTTTGGTGAGTAGGACGAAGGCAAACCTTGCAAGGACATTCCCGCCGCCAGTCTTGGCGACAGCATTGATCAGATTGGAGGTTCCTAAGCGCTGCCTGGACCATAAACTCCCCTACACCCTCATTCCTAGTGCTCTTTCAGGACCTGCTGTCCGAGAAGTCACCCGCGGCCAGTGCAGCAGAAGGGCTGCATTACCCTTGCCGGGCGTGTAAAGTTCTCTTCGTGGAAAGGGTCCTTTTGGCGGTGCCCATCTCGAAGGGAATTGGCTAAAGAGTTGATGGCACAATGGGATATAGTCATCAGTCACTCATTAATCCTTGCTTGATGTCCTCAGAGGTGCCGAGAGTCGGAAGTTATGTTTTAGAAAAGTCGTGAAGGAGGTGCCAAGCCAAAGAATACCGGGAAGGGTTTGGGGCGCTTGTTTTACTTTGTAGTGCTGCCGGAGATCAACCCAATTTTCTGTATCATCCGTTCCGAGACATCGGACGAGAACCTTAACCGACCATTGCCAGGAGCAACGTCCCAGCTCTTGCATCAAATGGGGCCGTTTGTGTCGATGTCGTTGCTAGAAGGTGCGCAGCTCTTGGTGCAAAGAACTCGGGGAAAACGACGACAATAGACTATAATGTTGACGACGATCATCATCAACTCCGACGATGACTACATATCTCTTGTCACAAGTAACCAGTACCTAGCAGTAATTGGCAACGACAGGGACAAGGAGCAGAGGAAGAAAGTGGTGGTGATTGGGTCGGTCATTCGCCTTCAAGATATCTTAGCACATCTAAGCCGCCGAGGGCGATACTGTAAATTCCGAATCGCGGGCTGCCTTGGCCGGGGACTCAGAGGGGGGCCTTCGGATCTCACAACCTGCGTTTTCAGAGTTGTAACCCATTGACTTCTGGGATGATAACTATACACGTACTATTTGATTAATTTTGTTGCAGGGTTTCGGGCTACGGATAAATCCTCGATATGAGCTGAAAAGGTTGAGTGTTCCAGGGTTGTTTACGGGTTGAAGATATGTTGGCAATGGGTTTCTGGCGTGTAATGTGTGTACGTGTAAGTTGCATCGTTTGCACATTGAAAAGTGTAGCGTGCGCTGCCATGGTAGAAGACTGTCAACACGTAACGGCTATATGTACATATGTACACAGCCAGTGCGTGTGAGCAGTGGTTTCCTCAAGCTATATGGCTTTTCAGGTGAAGCGCTTTCGGGTTTGAGGGTGGATGGTGTCTTCGGGAGCACTCCAAAATAGGCTCCTCCTGGTAAGGAATTCTAGCTGTACGCCGTCGGAAAAGAGCCCTTAACAGAAGAACGAGAACCTTAAGTTCTCTAAAGTAGACCCACAGGCCCCATAGTAGTTCCTTTTTGGGATTACCTTGTAGATAGGATTTTAAATATGAAGCCCAAAAAAGGAACTACTATGGGGCCTATGGGGAAGCATGTATTTAGAAGGCTCTAGTGGAGCCTTGGGCCGCCAAGAGGCTCGAGCTTAGCGCCCATGAAGGGTTCGTTTCCTTTGGTCCTCGTTTCTAAGGGCTTTAGGAGGGGACCCTTAATGGGGACCCTTGTAGGTTATTGGGGTTAATATGGAGACTACCTGGCTATATTTAAGGTAATGGGATTAAGGGTCCCTATTAGGGGTCCCTCCTAAAGTCCTTAGATCGCTTCTTCGAGCAAAGAGCCTGTGACAAGTGGTTCATCCGGCCGGGATGTAGAAGAGGGGACGGGGGAGGATGGAGCCCGTGTGATTTTGGCCGTTTAAGTCCTGAAGGTGGAAGCCAACGCCTAAGGGGCGATAAGTTGGATCAAGCGTAAATTGCACATGCCTACAAGACCTTTACTCCCCATTAGCTTCAAGAAAAGACAGACATTCGGCGGCCTGTCCTCCATGCCCGTCGGAGTACAGTACCCCTAGAGAATTGAATCTCTGAATGTGATGGCCAGTAAGGATCCAGAAAGGCATAACTCACTGGAAATACGGTCTACCAAGGAGAGCAGTTCGCACACACACTTAATGCCAAGCAGTGATTCTAAGACCAGAATGTCATTTTGCGTCACAAGACCAACTGGGTTTATAAGAAGTGCAATACCGATAGCAGGAACGTTCTGTAGCCTGAATTGAACTGGCTGTGATAGGAATTTATCACCCACGTGCCGTATGGACCTGGGTGGTTAGGATCCGAAGCAAAAACCGACATTAGAGGCATGTCTCCAAGTCTGTGGTTAGACATTCGTGTCCTAGCACGATTCCCCTTGCAACACGAGGTGTTGCCACTCGATGGTGGCGTGCCTTCCGGCCATGTGACCCGTTTGACTGGAAGGGTTCTCGGGATGTGAAGGATTTCCCTAGTTCAAATAGCGGTTTCGCAGGCTGGCAGGATGCCTTCCTCCAGCCAGAATAAATTTAAAGGTTCTGCGAGTACGCGGTACGATTCCTGCCATAAACACCGGATGCCGCAGGCTTGCCTTCGACAGCATGGCATGGCCCAGACATGCTCCTTTTAGAAGCAGGCGTAGGAAGGCACAAAGTGTGCAATCCGCATGCTCTAGTTGTCGGTTTGCCTACCTGCTGTTTGTCTGCCTGTCTGCCTGTCTGTCTACATTCTCATACATCCTTGAACACTGCAATTCCGAAGTGAACCGTAAATCGTTTTATGTATATGTATATAATAGTATAATAATAGCCCAGAGATTGTATGTATATAGATATACATGTGTATATATATGTATATATATATATATGCTAACTGATGATGTAACACTTACGAACAGAACCTAAAGTGTCACTCTCAAGGCTCCGTTTAAGCCCACTGAGGCCTTTCCGACCCTGTCGGAGCTTGACGGCCCACATCCTATCCTGAAGCCTGCCGCCACCTGGCAAAACCCTGGGCCCTGGGTTTAGGGTTTGGGGATGAACCACGGGCTTCCGAGTATGAATGTTGAGTTTTCATAACACTAGCAGAGAAAATCAATGCGCTATCCATGCTAGTAGTATAATAATACTTACAGTGCTAGTACTGGTCGTAATCATAATGAAAAAACTGAGTAAGAGTAGTAATAAAACTAATAGTTATTATTACTAACGCTTACTCGGAATTATAACCGTGATGATGAAACGGCACATCAAAATCAGAGTATATGAGGAGACGGTTGCGGCTGTCGTGGAAAGCATGGCCTTTTGGGGTTGTGGGTTTGTTGGGCCTAGGGTTTAGGGGTTTGGGCGCAAGCGTCTCGATTTGGAGCACTTTCAGGTTAAAGGGCTGAATATACTGCCAGGCTGAGACTAGCACAGGCTGAACTGCCTGAACCCGAAACCCGGTTTAGGGAATCCAAATCATGAATGAAGCACTTAAACCATACTGGAGGCACCAAGAAACCGAAACGCTAAACCCTGAAGCCTTTGAGGCCCGAAAAAGACCGTGTACGGTTTATGTACACGACAGCCTGTGTTGTGACTTCAGGCTTATAGGGTTTCGGGTTCGGCTAGTGTCTACAAGCTTAAAGGGTTCAGGGCTTTCCTGTACATCAGCGGTCATGAACACGCTTGATGGCATTGCTTGATGTGTCTGTGTTTCGTAAAGCGAACGCGCAGTGGTTACCGGATGGAGATGTGAAGTTCGGATGCAAATCCTCGGGTTGGGAACAGAATGCGTTTCAGAATCCAGCACATGGTAGAGTGCCGTTGTTGCACGAAGCTTTCATTCAGTCTGACTTCACATTCATTGTGTTCCGTACAAGCGTTTGGCTGCTCGATGTTTCACGTGTCCTGCTGCAACTGGGCACGAAATCCGATTCCAGGCTATCGGTAGGAATCCCGCAGCCGGACATAGCACACAAAGAGATTGTGCATGGAAGTAGTGCCATCGGTAGGAATGCTTCAGCCGGACATAGCCCACAAAGAGCTGGTGCATGGAATTGTGTTGCTGTACAATGGCGGCTGCAGTTACATCAAGCCCGGTGCCATCAAACACGCAAGCGTACCTATAACCACACACAAGTGTGCATGTACATGTTCTTGTGGTTTGCACATAGATGTGTATGTATGTGTATGTATATATATATATATATACACATACGATCCCGGTTCTCGGTTCACTGACCCCCCCCCCATATGGTATCCCCTTTTTTGGGCCCGGTTCCAGACAGACCAAATCCCTGTGACCGTGGGCACTTCTTCTCACAACCACACCACACCACGGGGGGTGGGGGGGAGGGGGCAGCGGGGGGCGAGAGAACCACACGGCCACA